CAAAGCACTCTCCGTTGTACTTTGCCCCTGACCTACACCACTGCGTGATGCCCTGGAAGGGCACCCGTTTTGGATTGATCGCTTTCACTTCTTCCCAGGTAGGTAGTATTAACAACGAGGTGAGAGAACAATTGGAGATATTGAAGTTCAGGCTGCCCCAACCAGCTGCGGTCGCTGCTCCAGCCCGGCTTTTGCCGAGGCCAATTGCATGCACCGATCAGGGGGGACTGAGTCTTCAACGGTGGTGGATTGCGGTTCGCCATGAAACTCCATCACAATGGTTACCTTTGCCCCGCCTCATCACTTCTGTTCGCGATGAGGGGGGAGCATTCATTATCACTTCACTTTCGTTTATCACGGTGGTGATGACATCGCTCTCAAAGGATGACTTGAGGAGGTTACAAAGGAGCATTGTTGAGATTGTTGAATTGGCTCACTTGTTTTCCAGTAACTTCTGTGTTCTCTTGTGTGGGCCCGTCGACGAATTCATGTTCGACGGAATTAATGCCGAAATTGCACGACTTGAAAACGCATATCTGGTGTGCGCAGGGCTCCAGGCATTGCCACTTGCGAACCGTGCTAAGGAAAGCTTCCGCTCAGGAACTCAGCATCCGATCGCTAAGGCATCTTACAAGCACGAAGCCGCAGATCATGATGATTTAGAGGATATCACATCTTCACATCTTGCTAATCTTGCGAACTTTAGGAAGGTGCTTGCCTGCCCCTGTGCAGCGGCTCATCAGAGCACGCCAGAGATGATCAGTGATCCCCGAGTGCGAGCAGAAGGCGAGAACAAGCCGTCGGCGCCAGCGACGATTGCTGCATCGGGTGACTCAATCAAGCGGGAGTGGGCTCACTACCATATGTGGGCCGGTGTCTTCGGACACGAGCTCGGACTCAACCCAGACCGTGACTGGGAAGAGAGCGTGAAACAGCTCTACACAGGCGCAATCGCGCAAACCGCTCTGTCTACGTGTCTGGGAGATGTTGATCATGGCTATAAGGCCCTCCCTAAGGTGGCACGGATCAACGACGAGGGGTTGTCGCGTTTCCAGCCCGGCGATAGCCGAGGCCGCGAAAAAGCCTGCATCATTGTTTCCGACTCTACCCTCATTTTCAAGGCTGGGGCGAGAACATTCGTTGAGATGGCGGACGACTTTAAAGCTCTGACGGGGCCTGGTCATATCCTTCAGCAATACACGAATGTCCGACAAAAGGCGATTTGGGGAGGCAACCTCCATTCGATCGTTGAGGCAGTTCACACGCTCTTGCCGCAGATCATCAACGAATCGTTAAACCCCTTGCATCTCGAGGTCGATATCGTTGTGATTTGGATGGGCAACGAACTGTGCGGTCGCAGAGGAGTCTTCGTCGACCCAGGGACGCCACAATGGCAGATTGGTCCTGAAGGCGTTGCCGCAGAAGGGATCTGGGCGGACATTGCCGCACGTGTGTGCGGTGAGATTGGCCGTCTAGCCGCCCTTCAGGGCAGGCCAACGGTGGGCTCAGTACAAATCCTCTCGGATGCCGACCCACTGGACTACGGGCTGCCAGCAGAGTACCGCACAGCTATCCGAAAATTCCTCGGATACGCAAGGAGTAGGGGGTTATACACCGCCTCTCTCAAAGAAAGCGTATGCCAGATCCCGAAGCACGACCACTACCACTTCCGCGAAGACTCAACACATCGCGCAGCCTTGGCCTCTGTGATCGGACAGCGGATTAAAGTGTGTCAAGCTGACCACTTATTCGCGAAGATGCCCGCAGAGACGCTGGACGAGCTGGCCCGCCGTTTTCCTTTTGATCCAGAAGGAACGCGGGTGTATTCCATGCAGTATGTCTTCGACAAGGCACTGTATCGGTCCCAGCTCTCCCGCCGCCTTTTATAAGGCAGGCCGAGATTCGCGAAGCTGCGAACGAATGCCCCGATCCATGGGAATCCCCTTATGTTCCTCCACCTGATCTTCCAGTCACTGGAATGCGTGAGGTCCCTCAGGATGTCCTGAATTGGGAATGGGCCACAGCTCGCGAACAGGCGCAAAAGCGCGCGAAGGAGCAGGCGGAAGCACGTGCCCGTGCTGAGCGGACGGATCCAGCCCCACTTAGTGGTGGCCCATCTGGCAGTGCATCATCTCGCGACGTACCGGAGGTGTCCTTTGACGATGTCATCGAGGCCATCCCTTATCGCACAGAGTCTCATCGTACTCTGTCAGCGGCAAAAGAGGGCATGACCAAGAAGGACCGGGACCCTTCCAGCGGCCTATTAAGGGCTCGCCCACACGACTACATTGGGGTAAAGTACCAAGACGACTTGGACCTGATGGAAATGTGTGGCTTCGTCGACGAGGATGTGTGCCCAGAGGATCCGGAGGGGAGCGAGATCGTTCAGATCCTCCCCGACTCGATCCCGAAGGACCACCTCCCTGAGTTGGGCCTCAAACCTTATGTTGAGCGCTACCTCACAGGTGCTGTCCGAGGGTCGAACGTGAAGCTCAGCTCACGGCGCGGGAAATGGATTCGCATCCAAGAACTCATTCAGCATATGTGGAAGAGGCACCGTGTGGATCTGGGAACACGAGGTATCTTGTCCTTAGTCGCCTACGATAACAAATCGAGGTTCAACTTGGCAGGCCTCCCCACTGAGCGAACTGGAGAATAAAGCTGGCAGTCGAGCGAACCTGCCCTACGAGATTGTGCTCGACACTCAGGAGGTCAATCGCCATGCATACCTCTTCGAGACGACCTCTGAGGGCATACTCACTCGCGATGCGGTGCCGGGGACATGTGTGCTATACATCCGCGACACCATCAAAGGCATCATCCTGTGGTCTCGCCAATCCAGCGAGGAGGAGGATACAATCATTCCGGAGACTGCTCAGGATCCCATCGTCGATCCTGGAGCAGCTGAGCCGGAGCAGTTCCCCGATGTTCCGGAGGAACCTTCAGCCCCACTTAGTGGTGGCCATGAAGCAGAAGAAACAGCAGCGTCTGCAACGACAGACGAACCCATGGTTGAAGTTGAGATTGAGGAGGGACCGCCAGCATCTTTGGCACCCCTCGCTCTCAATGACGCCACGGCCTCTGACCTCCTTCCAGAGGAAACGGCAACATTGGACCAGGGGGGAGCATCACCACCCGATGTGCAACCTGAGTCCAGAAAGCGTGTTCGTTTCCTTGAGCCGGAAGAGCCCGTCGAGGTCGAGATCGAGATCGAGCCGGACGAAGGCGATGTGAAAAAGGAGGAAGAAGTCAAGGTTGAGCCGATGTACGAGCAAGCGCCCCCGCAGCCTACATCCACACCTTTGGCACTCCCTCCAGCCCCCGTTACGGGTGGCCGCCACAGAGCTTGCCCCCACTGTGGGACGCAACACCTTGTGGGACAGATGATCTGTCTCAGCTGTGGCGTGCACATTGTGAAGCCTTCTCAACAGAGCGCTCGCAAAAAGGTGCGAACAGCCCGATGGTTCGCCGAACAAGCTGCAGCGGCCACGGCCGGTAAACCGCGATCCCAGCTCACTCCTGAGGAGGTCATCCACGAGATGACGAGGGATGCTACCACGCAACGCGGGACTACCTCATTGGACGCAGAAGCACTTGACAAGGCGCGGCAACAGCTGAAAATGGCGGTGAAAGGAGGATACACCAGCATCGTCCACCGGTTCGATAATGATGTCGATTACACCATGAACTCCATCGGCAATGGATTCGACCGGGAATTTCTCGCCATTGAGGATGTCCTCACTCATGCTGGTTTGCCAAACCATGGACGTTCCAAGGAGCAGAGGCAGCTCGCTATCGGCACCTATGGCGGCGCAGACGGCCCTCGGAACCAGGAAATCGCAAGGTTGCTCTACCTGCACGAGTGCAATCCAGCCGCCCTTAGGGCAGGCCTGATTTCCGCTGTCAGTGACGATCCTTTCTGCATCATGTGGCTTGGAGGGGCATACAGTCTGCGTAAGTTCGTAGATGTTTTCCTTCAGCACAAAATTGTGCGAATGATCGTGACCTTCTCAGAGGAAGCACTCTACATTGACCCACGTCTCGGATATTCCGCTGACGAATGGGTCGAGTGGCTTCAGTCGAAGTTTGCGGATCAGGTAGGAGTTGCACGTCGCGCGTATGAAGAGCGCCAGCGCAATGCCGAACGCTCTCGCATTGCACAGGCTAAGGCTGATGCACGCAGAGCCGAACAGCAGCGATACCAACAGGATTGGGACCAAGGCTATCAGCGCGGGTCCCACCCCTACGGTCGCTCCTCTGGTTCCCGAGGATGGTACTAAGTACCTGATCGACATTTCGTGGTTCCGTCACGTTAACCGGTACTCCGAAATACAGCCCCTCTTAGAGGTGGCCGAATTTCCTTAAGACCAGAAAAATTTCATGCTTCATTTCCTGGCAGTCACTTTGTGACAAATCCGAACAGTCAGCAGCTCCAGTGGATGATGTATTCGTCCCACGCTGCACACGTTCTTGCGACTTGTATCCACGCCATCATTCAAGGCTTGCTGGATCGTCGCCACTTTATAATGCATGTCGCGACTTTAAACTGCGCGCTGAAAGAATTAATCTGCTTCCGTATCTTCCGCTTTACGGTAGTAGAAACTCTATGAGCCCCAAGCCACAATCCAGCCGCCTTGATGGCAGGCCACACAGCACCAAGCTTCCGTGCATGTTTGCGCCTCAGACTGACGCTTCGGCGAGGGGGGTGTAATTTGTGCACGTGTGAAGTATCATGTTGTGTGTATGGCATTGTGGCACAAGTGCTCTAGCAGGAAAAAGGTGTAGCTACCTAATGGTATCGTGCGCTACTTGCTAACACTTGGACGGGTTATTATCAGTGCGTGTGTGCAGTGGTTTACAACAACTATATGTTTTGGTGCGTTTGGTTGGTTGTCCTATTCAGTTTAGCACTGTTTGATTCGCGATCCATGCATCACAACTGTTTTACTCGATCACCAGTTTGTTCAGCGGTGTTTGTTGGTGTACACCTGACTGAGTCGATGTGTGCTCTTGCCAGGGATTGCGAGCTTCTTCGAACAGATGTGGCCAAGCATCAGTGCGCCGGTATTTCTTTCCGTAGCTGCAGCATGATGAGAATTTACTGAAACAGTTCACCCAAGTTGCGCAGGACAGAGGTGGACGAACGAGCTCAGAAGACTGCAGAGCTGGAGGACTCCGTGCAAGTTCCAGGCTGCTCACATGGCACTTCCGGTGCAGTAAGCATTGATAAGCACAAGCACCATCTCGTCCACAAGCACATCGCAGCGCCTTAGGTATCCTTCGATATCCGATATCCGCTTCACGTCGGTTATACTCATACCACAGCGACATTGCGAAGCGGAGGCATGTCTTAATGTCTCTTCGACTGCAGGCCGAAGCTTGGCAATTGGACGTGAGTAATCTGCAAAGCGGTCAGAACCAGGAGATTCTCTGCTGGTGCGCTGCGCAGTTCTCGCACCATGTGCATCACGTCATTTTAAGCTGTACTGGCAGTGCCGTAAACCTTGATCAGGGGTGTTTGAGGATTTTTCGACTGGCAGTGTTGAGGCACTCGCCGAACGATGCTCTCGGGCAAAGACATCATGGTAGCCTAAGAGCATGGACAAGCCTATAATGTCACTGCCTCCGAAGCATGCATACACCACGAACAAAAGTTGCAGAGGTGCCAATGGGGGGCTCACAAGTGGGTTTCCGCTCCTGTTCTGCAGCTCCTCTGATTGCTACAAGTAGATTGTCACGTCCGTGACATGTGTTCGAGTGCATATCTCAGAACGCAGTGTTCACTTGTTCGGCTTGTCATGCCAATGCGCCATATCTGCAACTGCGTCTTAAGCGTTGTGTTCAGAGAGACGGGAAGAGATTCAAAGCAGGTCTTCCGAGCGTGGCCATGGCTTTATCCTTTCCCCTCCCTCCTCTGCAGAGCCATCATCTAGTAGCTCCATCACCATTATCTCTTTTCAAAGAAATGATAAATGCGTCTCTGCCACACCCACGACAAGCCGCATTCGGATGGGCGCGGTCGGAAAAAGGTACTTGTATGTTGTTGTCTACTGTGAACTGTGGCAATCATTCTCTGAAGGATTCGTAAAGGTGCTGCTAGAGTCCTAGAGGCAGTTGCAACGCTTGGAAGGACAAGTTCCACGGGCAGACGATGCTCAAGTTCACCGACATGAAAGCGGCCGTGGAGGCCGTTGCTCCTTCGGCCATTCTTCTGCACTGTGTCGCAGAGTCGGGCCAGGCCGCTGGGCAGCGGAAGCAGCAGCTGGGTCTAGAAGTTGGAGAAGCGAGAAAGCTCAAGGCAAAAGACGGGGCCGGGATGCCCGGGGCCTGCGGTTTCCGAACCTCCTTGCCAGGCTCAACTCACAAAGGAGTGCAAGCTGCTGAAAGCAGACTACGAGTGGGGGGCATAGAGAGCATTCGCATAGATGCGTTTCGACATAATGTGTGTGCAATGTGATGTGACATGGCTTCGTCTTTAGGCGCAAGCACTCGGAGCTTGCACGTGGAGCAGAAATGCGTGACAGGCGCGCGCTGAGCAGAGAGCAGATGAGAGCAGGGAGGGGAGGAGGTCGGAGGAGGAAGATTGAAAGAGCGTGCAGTGTGGGTGCCGTTTTCTCATCATCCTCTTTAGGTATCTTTAGGTCCTTGTTGTTGAGGCTTGAACAACAACTGGTTATGTACACGCAGCAGCTCAACCAGGCAATCTGCTGAGAGTGAAGTTTGAGTCCTTGCTGTCAGATCCCGATCCCAGACGTACGGCCAGCTAATGGCAGCCCGTTGCTCCTCAAGACAAGGGCTCGATGACAGCACTGCAACTTCACAGCATCAAGGCCAAGCTCCAAGCAACAGCTGTAGTAGCGCGGCGACTCGGCGCGGCTTCCATGGCCGCGGTTTTGCAGGAGAGCCGCAGAGCATTGCGGCATTGCGCATTGCAGAGCAGTTCCACACGCATGCGCTGAGGCCGAAGGTAAAGACCACTTCCAGCGAGGAGCGAAGTCGCGAAGTCGCGAAGCGGGGGTCGGCCGCCGCGCCGCCGGGTTTTGTGTTTTGGGGGCCCCGAGTCAGCGCTCAGGCCGCTTCCGCGAGGCCCTGCAAAGCTACGCCGCGGCCCTGCGAGAGCTGAACGGAGAGCAGGCCAGGGGCCCCCCGCGGGCCCGCCCCAGCCAACAAAAGACAATTCTTCCAAAGATTTCAGGGCAGCGAAGAGCAGGCAGCGGCCCTGCGCGCGAACCGCCTCCTGGCTCACCGGTAAGCTTGCTTTATCTTGCTTTTCTGGCTCCCTTATCTCCCAGGTTCTCTCTGTCTGTTGCGGCTTGGGGACACAGAGTTGGCCTTGTCGGAGGTGCTTTGCGTGGTTCTCTTGTAGGCCGTTTTGTACTCGGGAGCTCCAGGCCGAGAAGTGCAAGGAGCTGCAGCCGGATTGGCCCAAAGCGCACTTTCGTGTCGCGGCTGCTTTGAGAGCCTCTTAGCTGTCTTAGCTCTTGGATCTCTTCGCTAACTTGGCCGCTTCATGTGCTTCGATTCCTTCACTTCGCCGCTGACTTCACTGCAGGCTTTGGGGCGACTGGGAGAAGCTCGCTTGGCCGCTTGGCATGGCTTGGCTTTTCCTCTCGGCCCGACTGTCCCCGACCTCTCGGATCTCGGAGAGGCGGCTTGTCAGGGCCGGCGGCTGGCGCCCCGCGACGCCAGCCTGCGGGAGACCTTGGGGCACTTTTGCGCTTGTGCGTCCTGCCACAGCAGAATGCGAGGGCGATTTTTTCACAGCAGGATCTCCAAACAGAGCTGCGGCAGAAGCTTTTTCCTGGTCCCACCGCCCCTCTTGGGGAGGCTGTGCCAAGCCGGCTTCGCGTGTCCGTGACCTCTGTGATGGTCCGCAAGAGCCTATATGGCTATGACATACATACAAACATGCGTATTAGGTGTCGGTACATAATACTATGTGTTCATGTTAATGTTGCTACGATCAATATTCGTATTACATGAATATGAGAATGTGATTAGTATATATAATATCAATGATGTTACTTTAATTTATATAGTAGATATTAGTATCTATATTCGTATTTATTAGTATGTTAGCATATTGGTATTGGTATATTGGTAGATTCATATTCATATATTCACATATTCATATGATTCATATAACATCAATATTAATACAGCCGGACTGCTATGGGGCCGGGCCTGGGTGTTTGCACACCACAATTTCGTAGACTTTTCTGTACTTGTCGTTTCGGTGCTTGTCGTTCTGGATTACTTTGCATGTTCCTTCTCGCAGGAAAGGAAGTCTCGCTGGAATTCCAGAAAACCACAGACAAAAAACAAAAAAACACGACACCGCGCACAACGAAAACAACACAGTGACGTCCACACCAAGTCGGAGTCCTTCAGGCTAGTCCGGAAATCATTGTGTTTTGTTGTTTTTGGGGTGTCTTTGTAGTGTTGCTTTTTTAGTGTTTTTTCCGTCGTTGCTGATGAGGAGCAGGGGTCGTTGCGTATAAGCAGGGGTCGCTGCTTATAAGATGATGCTGTTGCTTTTTCGCAAAAGAGGTTAGGGTTGAGTCCCCCCCCACGCCTGGCCCCAACCCCCAACCCCAACCCCAACCACCACACACCAAAACAACGGAATATCCACCGTGGCAGCAGAGTACGTCCGGTGTTTTTGTATACGATGTGTGATGGGTTCTGTATTAACACCCTTTCCTTTTTGAAACAGCAGACATATGATTTGTGTGTAGGAGACGTGAGCTTCTTATACAAACCATTGCATCTGCGAAGTGTTCAATGGTCAAGGCACCATGTAAACCATCGAGATGTGTGGGGATTGTACATCAAGGATAGTCGTAAGGATGGAGGGCCTGGCCTTATCTTGACATGTCATAATTAACGTTTGAACCTGTGCCGGGTATGTAGACTATGTGATATACCGCCGCACCATGCCATACAGTAGAGTTATGCGCTCTAGATTCTGCCAGTATACACTGTACTGTCTCAGTTTACTGAGGTACTCCATTGTATACCTGGAGGTCTGCTTATATGACTTATATGAAGTCTACACTTGTACATTATAGACATACATGCAGATAACAGTTTCTACCGCACCTATCTATCTATTTATCTTTCTACGTATGCATACAGGCACTTGTATAGGCGTGGATGATGTCACTGATCTGCTGATCTGTTTACATACAGGCTGAGTGACTAAGTACAACGTTACAACCCTGATACAGTATATGTTGCGGTGCCATACAAGGCACATGTCAATATGTGTTACACTCTTGCGATAGTCATTGCAGCTGTTCCAACTGTACCCATTGTTGTGAGGTCCTTCATAAACAAGTCATGGGTAAGTACTACAATGCAGCCTAAGCTGAATACTCACACACGCACACACTCGCACACGCAGACCTTCACACAGTCAAGACACAAGGGTGTGGGCACACGGCAAGCGGCTCTGCACCCGAGATTGCCAGATGTTCAGGTTGTATAGTGTAGAACAAGATGGAGCCACAAATCAAACAACTGTAATGCATGCTTCATGTCGCTTACATGTGGCGGCGTATGTACTATGTACTTGTAGAATGTACCATGGTAATGCAAACATACTATACGGTATATATGTATATGTACAGGCTTGTGCGTTCATGTATGCCTGTATGAGTAAACGAAGGACTGCACTTGCCTGTGCATTGTTACGACACCATAAACACCATGCGTATGTGTTTCCCCAACTTGTGCAGGGATACAGTCTTCCGAGTGTCACTGTGGCTGTGTACCCCTCATAAACAAGTCATACGGAGATACTATACAATAAAGTCTAGTCTAAACGGAATACACGCACGCACGCACGCGCACACACACACACAGACACACACAGACACACACGCACACACACACACACACGCGCACAGAACTTCACCTAGTCAAGACATAAGTGAATCGGAACACGGCAAGTCGGGCCTGCCCCCAAGATTAGCCGTTTTAAAGTTTAAGAAAAAGCTGGAACAATAGATGACGTAGAACTTTCACGCATTTTTGTCTGTGTCATTTAGATGTGGCGGTGTGTGTGCTGTGTACTGTTATTGTGGTTGTAGAGCGTACCATGGAAGTGCAAATGCGTAAACAGCACATGTACGGGCCTGTGCATAGATTTAGGCGTCTACGTGTAAACGTAACGAGGCACAGGCTTGAGCATTCATATGTACGTGCTGCGTACATAGAGTAATGTTACACTCTTGTGAACAACAGCACGCAAATGTTGCACGCTCGCATGGCATCATTCTGAGTATCACAACAACACACAGTACTCAAACATTTGTTTGCTAATATTCCTATATTAATATTGAAATGAATACTATTGTTAATACCAGTATTATGGTTGCTAAAAAATAGTATTTCATCTAATACATTTACTGTATATATACATATATATACATAAACATACACATGTGTGTATGATATATATATATATATATATATATATATATATATATATTTGTCATGTTATTATACTACATTGTTTTGTTTTGCTTCTTAGTATTTTGCATTATGTTGTACGTTAGTATGTACATGTGCATGTATATATGCTTATGTATTGCAAAAGTATAAGTATACGTATAGGTGGAAGTAGACGCAGATGTGTATGCATGCATGCAGGCATGCATGTATGTACGTATGTATGTATGTATGTATGTAGGGATTCGATCTTGCAGATGAGCATTCTCCAGCCTGAAGTCTCCTTGGCATCTCACATCTTGCTGCCGAGCACAAGACGTTCTCTTTATGGGATGGCGGATTTCAAGCGTGGGGAGGGAGCCAACCCACAGCTGCAGGCCTTGGATCTGCTGGAAGACTTCCGGAGAAGCGCTTCCGACATCCGGGACGCTGCGCAAGTGGTTCGAGACACTCTGCTGGGTCGCGCGGCACAGGAGCCGGATCAAATTAGCCTGAGCCTGTGCCTGTGTCGAGGCGACCGCAAAGCAGGTGTTGGCGTGCTGGAAGCGTTTCTTCGCTCCGAGGGGCCCAAGACGATTTTCCGACGTCAGAGTCCCGGCAGCAGGAGTGCAAATCAGACGCGTTGCTTGAAGTTCTAGCAAAAGTATAGACAAAAAGTAGTCGTAGCGGCAACAGGCGCGTCGGCAGCAGCGGCAGGGCAGCGGCAGCAGCACCCGTAGCAGCAGCAGCAGCAGCAGCACCGATAGCGCAGCAGCAAACAGTAGCAGCACCAACAGGCCGCAATGCACGGCTCTGATCACTTCTTCTCGCGTATGCTGCATGTGGTCGACCTGCCTGAGGAATGCCATGGGTGACAACTGGCAAGAGGACAGATTGCGCTTCACATTATTTTGAGCGGGTGTGTGCGTGTGCACGCTTGGGTTTGGACATCTGGGTTAGCAACATCGTGTCTTGCCAGAACATGTGCAAGGGGCCAGCGCATGATGTCGAACCTCATGGACCCAATCCACCATGAACGGCGGCGCCTTTTCTTTTTGCTGAAATCTTTGTTTCATTTACACTGAACCATGGCTTTCCTAGTATGTTTTTCGGTTTCTGTCCCTTGCCACTCCGTTGCCAGTCGCCGTGATTCTTGCCATCCCTATAGCCGTGCGTGCGGACGGGCGGGCGGTGTTCAGTGGGCGGTTTAGGGCCCACGTTGGTTCCCGTGTGCTCTTCGAGCTACGTGAAGCTCAAACGTGGGTTGCTTTCGTCTATAGGCTGGCCTGCGGGTTTATGGTCCTGTTGGTCCCCACCCGCTTGAGCGCTTTCGAGACTCTTGGTCCTTGAGCTTGGGCAACTCGAGTGAACTGGAGCCGACTGAGTAACAGTGGCTGAGAAACGGGCCATTGCGGGCCTCTGCGGGCCTTGGGGCCCTGGCGCTGCTTGGTCTGGCTGCTGTGGCTTTGGGCGGTCTGGTGCTGCTGGGCGAGCGGTGGCTGGACTACTGAGCTCTGCCACCTCGTTTTCTGACTTGTGCCGTGTAAACTACTTGTATTTTAGATCGTTGCGCAAAGTAGCTTCAGGTCTTGTGTAGCCTGGCCTTCTTCGGCTCCGACTCTTGTCTTACACACTGTCGTTTGCGGTGTAGAGCTGCTTCTTTTCTGTAGGTTTGTGCTGCCTTTGCACTTGCGGCAGAGTCTTCTCTAAGGTGAAGGGATTCTTGCCGCTGCGAGTTGAGGTTAAGCTTTGGCCTCCTTTGTAGTGCTTAGCCCGAGTTCGTAACAACAACACGTTGCATCGCTGGCGCACCTGCTGTCTAGTGGACTTCTCGAAGACGCTGGACTCAAGACCGACACCAGAGTGCTGAAAAGGGACTACGCCATTCATGACTGGCGGGTCGCTGCTACTGCGGTGACTCACTTTCTTCGCTGAGTCCGACCACCTTTGTGTCAGCTACAAGTTCCTGGAGGGATTGTTGGTGCCTCTGATGCAGCCTGCCAGGGCCTTGCCCAAGGAAATGTGAAGGAGGACCCCGAGCCGGTTTTCGCTTTTGGTTGATTTTCAATGCTTTGGCCGGGCCTTGCCGAGCATCGACCTGATGATGCCTGGGCGGCGAGCCCCGCCCTGGCTGGACCACTACAATAACCTTGAAGCTAGCATCTCTTCTCCATGGAAGTGTGGGGTCCCGCAGGCTCAGCTGGGCGATGTAATCACATAAATGCAGCCTCAGCTGTCACTGGCATGTACTGCACATACAGCTACACAATCAATACAGCATTTAGCCATTATTGCACTGCCGACATGCACGACATCACTGACTGCATGCAGGCTGCAGCAGTGCAGGGGCACCAAGGATGAGTAGGGTCGCAGAGGCGCGGCCGCTCAGCATAACAGGCGGGGTCGACTCCATCTTCAGACCCCAAAACACAACTGAGAAAAGAATCCTGATCAGTGATGGCCCATGCGTATGTATGTGCACATGCTGCACTGCAGTCACAGAGATGCCCATGCAAGCACACGTGACAGACATGCACTTGCTATGATATGAGGATGCACACATTCCTCCGCATGATCCCCAGACAATCTTAAACACACATCGAGTCATGAATTTCTCATTCACTGTACGACTGCTAAGCTCTGCCTTTCAGGCAGAATGCACATCAAAGCAAATTGCAAGGCACATGTGTGTCATAACACATGCATGTGCCATCTAGATCATGTAGCATTCAGGAGACCCCAGGCTTCGAACTATGACTTCTGGCTCTCTCCATTAAACGGGTGTCTCCCATACATTCCTAGCTAGGGTCTATATCCCCCAAGGCCCCCCGAACATCTCCTAAAACGTCTGTAACCCTTCACTCGTGAGTCCATCCAGCAAGTCCCTGCGCTAGTAGCCATGCATTTTGGCAACCCTTCTTCCTGTTGTTTACTGTAGCGCCACCCTTGCGGTTGATTGCAAGGTTGGCCTCGGCAGCCGCCTCTTTGTTGATGACCCGGTTGATGTAGAATTGCCCCAAGTGCCACCTTCTAGCCATGCACATGCACTAACATCTGTGGACAGCAATGTCTGCTTTATACTTTTAGATATAGAGCAAAGTTACAGGACCCCAATCGTCAAGGTTTCGCCAGTCACAGCAGTGCCCTCATACTTGACAGTCCAGCTCTTCTTGGGATACGGAGTGTGCTCATCATATCCCGATGGAAGCTGGGCGCCAACTTGCACGAGGTAGGGCACCTTGGCACATTTCGATGCACACACACACACACACACACACGTGCATAGCTGAATTCCTCTATAGCCGTATGACCTAGTGTTGCTGGTACACAAGTTGTTATCAATACATGTGGGTGCATGTGTTTGTGTGTGTATGTACATATATCTGCATATAAACGCATGGTCAGTCTAGATTCCCGATATATATATATATATATATATACTACTACTACTATGCAAGTACATTGTATATACTTTCCGTTTAATACTCAAACATTGAGCCCATGACCCTATACTTCAATCCATCCGATATTCCCAATGAAGTATAATTGACTGAATTCAAACTTGGGATACTGTCTGAACCCAAATGTGCTGATGCCTGCCATCCACACCAGTAGCACGATTTGGGTCAGCATCACCACCCGCAGAAGTCACAGCACCATGTGCTGGGGCTACATGCCCATCCGGCTCTGCTGAGCTGGCACTGAGACCCACTTGAGCATTCTCCACCGGCTTTGTGTCATGGGTACCCACTGCCGCCTGAGCATTCTCCACCGGCTTTGGGTCACTGGTACCCTCTGCCACCTGAGCATTCTCCACCGGCTTTGTGTCATTGGTACCCACTGCCACCTGAGCACTCACCATCGGCTCTCCTGCTGAGCTGGCCGGGAGCTCGCACTCGGCAGCCTTTCCCTCCTTTCCTTTCCCACCTTTGCCCCTGGCCTTCCCACACACAGCCTTGGGTGGGCCAGTCTTGCCATTCATCTTCTTCAGGGGAGGTTCTGCAGCATCCACTTCCGTCCGATCGCGCAGGGCTTTCCGAACCTGATGAGCTTTGCATATATATATATATATGTGTAGAAAGACATGTACATAGTACACATATCTACTCACGCTGTTTACTACATGTGCTGAACTGCCTTGCCTGTGCTGCCAGGACATCCTCACTTGCAGCTCCAAGGTCATCGATCTCAGCGAGCATGGCATTCGCCTGTTCCTTCAAAGGAGCATCCATTCTTCCCTTCGTCACCAAGAGCGGTGTCTTGTCCCTGGTCGCCTGTCGGCCTTCCTCTTTGGCTTCAGCTGTCACATCTCATCAAAGGGGCTCCGGCTGCATGTCAACCAACTCAGCTGCACATTTGTTGATACACCCACTACAAATACAGTGTAGGAAATTCAGTCATCATGCAGGCTAGTGCTAGTATAGCCCAGTAACCATTTCAGCTCAGTTTCGACATTTGCCAGGAGGGCCTCCGTCTCGGCAGCCTGCTACCCATACAGCTATATGCACTTGTATATAGTCAAGCACATGGATTTCGAAGTGCAACTCCAAACCATATACCATGGATATCATGATCATGGGACGGAGAGTTATGATTTAATGAGTAATCCACGTTGCTCGGATCCAAGATGGACGCAAGCTTCACCTCATATTTACATGTGGCATGAACACATATGTCCATATATGTATCTATATACATGCATATGTCTATAATTGCAGGCGCAAGCCATCTATTGAGGTTAAAGATCTCACCACAGCAAAACCACAACATAAAACCCGAACCATAATAGATTGCAAGACAGTGACATGCCCACACTGCACACGTGCACACGGACACATAAGCGCAGGCCATGTGTGTCATATATATATATATATATGTGTGTATGTGTATGTATATGTATATGTATATGTATAAATGCACGTTTTGACCATATATGTATGTATATATGTGCAATATCAGTAGCTAGGGTCTACATATGTAAATCCGCAGGGATGTGTGGGCCTGAAGTATATATGCATACATCTGGGTGTTTTATACTATAGATGCTATGAGGTATGTATGACACTTAGTGTTCTGGGTAATGTATATATATATATGTATGTATATATATATATATATACACACATACGTATATACATACATACATATATACATACATACATATATACATATATATACATATATACATATACATATACATATACATATACATATACATATACATATACATATATGTGCCCGATACCTTTAGGGTCTATATAACCGCGGTTTGTTGTCTTCAGCACATAATGGAATGCAAAATATAAGGTATAAGCACAGCCCACATTACAAAGCCACGACCTGAAAAGTTTCGGGTCGATTAGGCTATATTTTTCTATCAAGTAATTATAGCAAATTACTCGCATTCAGGGAGACGAGTATTATATAAACAGAATACATCGAGTGTTGATCCCAACACTGTCGATGAATAAACATTCGTTGTGATGACACATCTCAGTGTATAGAGTCCATACATCTTGCAGGAATGATGTATCGTCGTGGAGATATGCATAGCACTGTCAGCAGTATATCGGCAACATGGACAAATTGTCCTGTCCAAATATTTCACAATTCGACTTATTGTTGACTTGCCAGCGCTTGAATAATTGCATACGACATATCCATCCAAGAATCACGTAATAAGCATGCACGCTGTAATATGGCATAAATTTGTTTGTAATTTCCGCACAGGCCAGAATGCAAAACCTGACAGGTTCGGTACTCATGAATCGGATGTGTTCATATGACAAATTATGGGAATACATACGGCGTGACACATCCATATCACATGATGCTGTCGCAACACTTTCTACAACTCGTTGCCTGTTATATTCGTTATACTCGTTTTGAGGGCTGGATCAGTGGGGGCTGGATCAGTGGGGTTTGAAGGCCAAAACCAATTTTCTCAATAGTGCAGTTCAATATACCGACATAGTGTTTCAAGCTGTTGTAGCATTAGCTTATTTCTGTATTATATTAGGAATTTCAGTACCGAGCACACTAGCAAGCCTGCGTGAGGAAACCCTTTTTTGCCAAACATTTTTGCATTGTCCAAGCCGGATGTATTGAGCGATGGTGTTCACTTCTGTCCAAGCCGGTTGTGTTGGAAGCTGAAACGTGGTCCTTTGTCACGTCACGTGCCACTGCTTGGTTGGCTTGGTTGCTTGGTTGGCTTGCTTCTCGCCCTACCCATCCTGCACGCCCCAGCTCAGAGTGGTCTTACAGACCGCTCCAGTCGGGCTCGGACCACGTGAGCAATGGGTCCTTGATCCGTGCGGGACAGCGTCGCTGGCCGGGCGCTGGGGATTTACTCTGTGTGCTGCTTGCCTGTCCAGCCAGGTGGTGTGTCCGTCGCGGGGTGAAATGCACACAGATTGCAGGGAAGGCCTTACTAATATATACTATGCCACTTACCCACACCACGGTCGAAGTCTTGAATAATACTTCGCCCACCGCTGCAAGCCGGCATGGCCCGCATGGCATCTTATGCTGTGCCTGTAACCGGCGTGTCGCGCAGCGATTCCGGTGCACTCGATGACGAGCATGACCTGTCCTCTTGCGGGCCTGTATGCAGGGCAATTGGATTTCAGCGCTCCGCATAGGGCAAAGAAGGCAAGCACGACGTCCAAGGCCCTGATTTGCCGGCGCATACTCAGCGGGGTGACCCCATCTTGGCCGAATGGGGGTGGCATTTAAAGAAGTCTCCAGTCCGCATGACTGTCAGAGCACGCTCGTGTTTGCAAAGACGCTGGGGAGGCCGTTACTGTGTCGGCATGGCATTGCTTGGCTTGCAAGTTGATTCGATTGTTGCGGTGGCGTCAATTCTGGTAGCATCAATTCTGGTAGCATCAATTGTGGTAGTCAGCATGGCATTGCTTGGCTTGGTTGCTTCGATTGTTGCGGTGGTACCAATTCTGGTAGCATAAATTCTGGTAGCATCAATTGTGGTAGTCAGCATGGCATTGCTTGGCTTGGTTGCTTCGATTGTTGCGGTGGTGCCAATTCTGGTAGCATAAATTCTGGTAGCATCAATTGTGGTAGTCAGCACGGCATTGCTTGGCTTGGTTGCTTCGATTGTTGTGGTGGCATAAATTCTGGTAGCATCAATTGAAGTAGTCAGCATGGCATTGCTTGGCTTGGTTGATTCGATTGTTGCGGTGGCATCAATTCTGGTAGCATCAGTTCTGGTAGCATCAATTTGTCAATTGTGGTAGCAACAATTGTGGTAGCATCAACTGTGGTAGCATCAATTGTGGTAGCATGCTGCGCGGTAGTATAATACTTATTGTGGTAGCATCAATGGCAAGGTGTGCCTGGCATGTTTTGACAGACCCGGGGGGGGCAGGGCTGGCACAGTAGCATCAATTGTGGTAGCATGCTGCTGGTAGCATCAATGGCAAGGTGTGCTTGGCATGTTTTGACAGACCCGGGGGGGGGGGGGTGGCAGGGCTGGCATGAAATTTGCATTTTGCCAGGTGAAGTCGTTTTCCCAAGGCATCTGATATTTGTGCGGAAGGCTCAGTGTCTGTGTGTGTGTGTGTGTGTCAGCTTGCTTGGTGATTGATTGTGAGCCCCTTGTATTGTTAACCTCATGCTGCAGTTCTGGCTCAAGCTGTGCTATTGTACATACAGAATCCTCACTCAGCCGAAGCTAAACTTTTGAACTTTTGGGGCCAATGTTAAAATTAGAGATAATACTATATACAAATTTTACCCGCAAGGGCTCATAAGAGTGGATGGACGGCTTATTATTTTGATAAGAGTGGAAGGACGGCTTAAAATATATTTGGTATAGTCTGAACGTGAACCGCCCACTTGTCTTCATGGCTCATTTGCAGGACAACGTAGCTGAGACTTATCAGCCATGGTGACAGACAAGCGGGCTAGTTCCGCTTGAGCGGGTTAGTTCCGCTAGAGCGGCTTAGTTCCGCTAAAGGCGGGTTAGTTCCGCCTAGAGCGGGTTAGTTCCGCTAAAGGCGGTTAGTTCCGCCTAGAGCGGGTTAGTTCCGCTAAAGGCGGGTTAGTTCCGCCGGGCAAAGCTAGCTTTACCAGGCGGGTTAGTTCCGCCAGGGCGGGTTAGTTCCGCTTAATCCAGGGCGGGCTAGTTCCGCCCTGGCAAGGCTAGCTTTTCCAGGGCGGGTTAGTTCCGCCAGGGCGGGTTAGTTCCGCCAAGGAAAGTTATGCGGGCGGTGATCTGTTGGGTCTGAGGAATCCAAGCGAGGGCATTCTTTCGTTGGTCTGGGGATTGACGAAGACTCCAAGGACAAAGCTGAAGCTGCGGCTGCTGAGTGGCTGCGTGCCCAGGGGCAAGGCACGGAGAAGGCAGCAAAGGCCAAGAAAAAGACAATTGCAAGACAACTCACAGACAGCTATGGGACAACTCGATGACAACTCGTTAGTTGTCTGTGGGTTGTCTTCGAGTTGTCTGCGAGTTGTCTTCGAGTTGTCTGCGAGTTGTCTTCGAGTGGTCTTGTAGTTGTCCGCCGTTTGTCCGCGCCTTTTTCTAAAAGAGTAAAGATATCTGCAGATAGCTCGAAGACAATTGCAAGACAACTCACAGACAGCTATGGGACAACTCTATGACAACTCGTTAGTTGTCTGTGGGTTGTCTTCGAGTTGTCTGCGAGTTGTCTTCGAGTTGTCTGCGAGTTGTCTTCGAGTTGTCTGCGAGTTGTCTTCGAGTTGTCCGCGAGTTGTCTTCGAGTTGTCCGCGAGTTGTCTTCGAGTTGTCCGCGAGTTGTCTTCGAGTTGTCCGCGAGTTGTCTTCGAGTTGTCTGCGAGTTGTCTTCGAGTTGTCTGCGAGTTGTCTGCGAGTTGTCTTCGAGTTGTCTTCGAGTTGTCTGCGAGTTGTCTTCGAGTTGTCTTGTAGTTGTCCGCCGTTTGTCCGCGCCTTTTTCTAAAAGAGCAAAGATATCTGCAGATAGCTCGAAGACAATTGCAAGACAACTCACAGACAGCTATGGGACAACTCGATGACAACTCGTTAGTTGTCTGTGGGTTGTCTTCGAGTTGTCTGCGAGTTGTCTTCGAGTTGTCTGCGAGTTGTCTTCGAGTTGTCTGCGAGTTGTCTTCGAGTTGTCTGCGAGTTGTCTTCGAGTTGTCTTGTAGTTGTCCGCCGTTTGTCCATACGACTAATACATTCAGATCAGAATTTCCGCGAATCCGTGGTCCAGGCGCCTTCCGCGCAACTTCGTGCTGATGCTGAATCTAGCTTTGCACGGCATCGGAATGCGGCTGTGCGCCAAAAGTTCAAGCCGTGACTGAACGCACAAGGGATGCGGTTTTTTCTGCTGGCCCTTGTGCGTCGGAGACCGGTCGCCAACGCACAAGGCCTCGATTTCGTGCTGCGGGAGACAGGTCTGGCGAAAAGTTCGTTGTGCGTTCAAGGGCCGTCCTCTCTCCCGCAGCACGAAATCGAGGCCTTGTGCGTTGGCGACCGGTCTCCAACGCACAAGGGGCCCCGGCGTTCTCTGGCTTTGTTGTGCGTTCTGTCCGTGTCTTTAAACTTTTCTGCCGCATTTCCGTGTCCGGAGCTGGGCCCGAGACCGGATTCTTTGGTTTGATTGGCCTTTCCGAGCATGGCTGCTGCCGGCCAGTCGGTGGTGCTGAGCATCTTCACGGGCGCCGTGGATCCCCTGGTGCTTGCCGTGAAGAAGGAAAAGCTCAGAGCGATCGTTCTGTCCTGCCCGATGCAGAATCTGACAGAAGTTCCGGTGCCCGCGCTTCGCGCCTTCTGAAGCACATCCGTGCGAAGCCTGGCTGCAAAACGACCACGTGTGTCGACTGACTCCTGAAACAATCCGGGCAGAACCAAGGAAGATAACGGATGCAAGGCAGTGTGCAGTGGAAATCCTGGACAATGGCCTGGAACAGGGACTGGACAAGACTGCTCAGGAGGTCACGCTGAAGCTGCTGTGGAAGCAGGACAAGGATGTGCCGTATGCGACCGCATCCCGCTGGGTGTCTCGATGCCTTGCTGACTACTCAGGCGGAAGCAGTTTGCACTGGGGCTTAGAGCCTGAGCCGACGGGCCTGGGCGGTTCTCAACCCGGTGCGCAGGTTGGGCCGATACCCTCGCCAAGTGAAGCAAAAGCTCCTGACATCCAATCGCATCTCGTTCGACAGGTGAAATTGTTGCAAAGGCAACCACTTGAAGGGTACCAAGGCGGTGGCAAACTTGGTGAAGGAAGTTTCGGCCTTGTTGTGAGAGCGAAACGAGCAACCGATAATGATGATGTTGCCATCAAGCTCTTGAAAGACGATTTGGAAGCTTTTCAGGAGGTGGTTTTCGCCACCCAGCTTCAAGATCATCCCAACATCGTGCAGCTTCTGGATGCTGGCATTTGGATGGACAAATCGGCCACTGTGTGGGAACTGGCCTGCAGTTCCGTCCATATGGAGATCGAAAAACAGGACAACTCCAACGCAACGTCCGAGACTTGTCGACTAATAATTTGTTGCTTTTTCCTGAGGGCGTGGCCAAAATTGGAGATTTGGGCGGTTGCGCATGCTTGCGGCCAGGCATGACATCTGGTCTACGGACTTTCGGCCAATGCACGACTTTGCCTTATCGGGCGCCTGAAATCTTGTTTGGGGATGCCTGGCACGTCCGTGTGGATATTTGGGCTTTCGGATGCTGCTTCATGGAGATGTACAAGGGCAGTAAGTTCTTTGCTGTGACCAGCAAATTGGAGCTGCAGTTCCACATCTTGCGCCTTCTCGGTAGCAAGGACATTGCGATCAGTCTGACATGAAATGTATAATAATATCTTTTGGTTTTCTGGCCTGCATCCAGTTTGACTAGAGTTTTCTGATTCCAGGACACAGGTCTGGATCATCTGCCGCAGTGGCCGAGCCGTCCCGCCAAAACCAAGCGGCCCGCCGATCCCTTTGGCTGCGATGGCGAAATGCTGAGTCTTGTCCAGGCATGCATAGCATATCCTTCCAGCCGCCTCGCGAGCGGAACCGCGCTCAATGACCATCCTTACTTCCGAGAAAAGAGCTGTCTGCTTTGAATATAATATTATGCCGTCCATCCACTTGTTTAAAACTGAATGAGCCAAACCAACATAATATCTATAAGTACGGGATGTCGGGTCACCATTCAATCGTACTTTCTTCTTGACTCCGGGCTTGCCCTTGGCTCTACATGGACTATTCAGGTCAAGGTTCTTGGGTCTTACCATGGGTGTGAAAGGTTCGGCTGGGGAGTATACTCAAAATTCTTGGGTTTATAAATTAGATATGGCCGTCCATCCACAATATTATATGCATGATTGTGATTATATATGTATTTCTGGTTAAAAAGTTTAAACTTTTCCTGTGTGAAAAACCAGCTGAGTGAGAATCCTAGTGACACATAACTGTTGACATCTCAGGTGACGCATATTATTCTGGGAATTCTCAGACTCAAATTTATATGTCGAGTGTGGCCCTCCAGCAGCTCCCTGACGCATTGCGTGTCAAGGAGGAGGACGGCGAGGATCTCCGGAAAGCACAGCAAGAAATCTACTTGCTCTATTTGCTCTCCCCGAGAAAGGCTGGTGATCTTGTGACACCTGCAGCACATTTCAGACAATTTCCAATTGAGAATAATTTGCCACCTGACATGTCATTGTTTCAATTCATCGACATTTGAGGAAAAATTTCAACAAAGGACGAGTCGGCATCCACAAACCAGACGCCTGGATTCTGTCAGCCTGTAACAAGAACGTTAAAGAGCACTTTGGCAAAGATTGATGCAGCCCTGTGTTTTTTTTGAGCTTAACCTTTAAAATCATTACAATTCCGTGTTCATTCATTCGAGGCACAATATCAGCTTGGGGCTAGAGTACAGCACTTTCGATGTCGCACACTACACCGGCCGGAAAGCAGACGAGCCGACGCAAAGTTCCCATCACTTGGGGCGCGCCGAGGAGGACGACGATTCTTGGGGAACCAGATGGCAGGACCCCCAGAAGCACAAGAGGCAACGAACCGGCTATTGATGGTGCTGATGTGAGCTCTGTTGACAACGTGAGCTCTGCGGCAGCTGCAGCTGCCGACTCGAACACTTTGAAGGCAGTTCACTTGGGCGGCAGAACCTACGTTTGGCCGAAGCGAGTGGTGATCGTTGGTTACGGGGTTGCCAAGACGGGAAATCGTTCACCACCTCAGGTGACAAAATTGTTGGAGAGGTTGACAAAGGAATGTGACTGGTCTAACCCCTGGGAGGTTCGCTTGCAGGATGAAATGCACGTGAAGAAGCTTCATGACAATTGTGCATTTTTCATTCAATTCAGTTTCATTCAATTGACAATTGAGGGCAGTGACAGTGACAGTCATGGATGGAAGCCAAGGGAAGCCGATGGAGAAAAGTTTGGCAGAGATTGTGGCCTATACCAGCGTACCATGGCACAGGTGCCTGGTCGAACAAGTGTTGTTTCATGAATCGAGTTGTATAATAAATAATAATCCAGCACCCTAATGACCGAGGTGTATCGTCATCCCAAGGCACTCAAGACGCTCCACTTCATCCTCAATTTTCCCCACAAGTTGCTCAGGCTTCTCGAGTCTTTGAATGCTGAAGGTCTCGGAGGTTAGGTTCAGGGATTAGGATAATTGGGGAAAACCAGAAGCAGCGATTGAAGTCGCATGCTGTGTGCAGTTGTTTGCGAGCTCTTGTCACGGCTGATGCTTGGGTTTGGGGAAGGCTGCGGAACATACGCCCCTTGGCCATGTAAAGATAGCACAGCTGAAGACCGTGCACAAATCAAGAAGTGTACCGAACTGTTTGCATTGAGATCATCAATTGCACAACCTAGATCTCGAAGTGCTTACATGTTGCGTTGCGTGCAAAAGATTTCAAGTAGGTTCAGGCTGCAATGGAGGAGCCTTCGGCGTCTACTGCGGTAAGACCTGTCCTTCAGGTTATGAGCGCCCAAGCGGGAAGCGACGCTGGTGCTCCGCTACAGAATGGTGTGATGCCTGGAGCTCCTCGCGAAGAAGGAGTGGAGGCGGAAACCGGAGCTCGAGGCTCGGGTCAGACGAATCCCGTCGGATCCGAACCCGGGCAAGAAGCGGGTCAGGGAGGAGGAAAGAGCGGTGGGGTTGCAGAGCAGGCACGGTCCTCACCAGCCGCTCCTACTTTGGCTGGCAACAACGTGAACGAAGACGGAGGACGTGCGGAAGCCCCGGCTACAGGTATCATCGAGCAGGGATTTGAGACTCGCGCCGACATTGGTGGCCACGCCACCACAAGCGGAGGTGAATCAGCTGGTCGTGATTCTGGATTGCGGGGTGGAGCGCTTCCGAGAGATGGTAGTGGAGAGGTCTTGGCTGGAGACTACCATACGCCGAGATCAACGAGATCATTCGGACCGATTGGAAGCGGGCCGAGACCAGTTTTTCAAGGTCACCTACCGGGGTGGGTGACTCGCCTTGGAGAGTTTTTCAAGGCGCCAGCAGTGCAATGGATGCCGAGTCCTATGCCATCGCCCCCGAGACCGCGCCTACTGAATATGAATGTAGACGAACAGCATGGAGACACTGCCGAGCTGCAGCGGTTACCCTAACCAACACACACCGCCCAGCAGCAGCAGCATCCCGGCAGAGGCGATTCAGGCAGAAGTGCAGCGGCAACTTGGCGGTCTGCTGGACAAGCTGCAGACCATGGAGGGAGAAAACATCAGGCTGCATGAGCAGCTTGCCCAAGTGCACCGGGAACTACAAGCTCAGCCCCTTCGTGAAGTAGCCCCTGTTCCTGAGCCTGTAAGAGAACCCCGAACAGATCCTCCTCGCCAGCAAGGTCGTGATTCGGAACCTCCTCGTGATCCACCGCGGGCAGCTGAAGGGCGACCAGATCCGTGGAGAGACCCCCTCGGCGCATTGTGGGAAGAGCTGCAGTCCCGTAGGACAGTTCCACCAGCTGAAGTACAACCTGTACCACAACCTCAAGCGAGTGCCGAAGGGACCCCAGAAGACCCTACAACAGCAATTCTGGAAGCCTTGACAAAGAACCTGACTAGTCTTCAAGAACTACAAGCCAAGTCGCTAAAAAGGGACGATTCGCCGGAACAGGTCAAATCGAATGCCTCAGCACTCCCGCTCCTTCCAGGGCCAGAGGGCACCAACGCGGGCATCGTCTTCCAGGACTGGCTGGCGCAGGTGGCTGTTCCGATGCAAGATTTGTCAGCTTCTTCGGGTACTTGGTGGGCTGGTGTTTTAAGCCTAGTCAGAGAAGCCTACACTACGTGGTTGGCGGCAACACCCCTAGAAAGGCTTCAGCTTGAACCTGTGGGTCATGAAGTTTGGACTTCGGCTAAATGGACTCGAGTAAACTCGAGAGCGTGCTCGCTGATCTTGCAGAGCCTGGTGGAGGCGATCAGGTTGGACCTTATCGCACGAAGGGCTGTACAAAGCGCGCCTCTGATGCTCTTTCGATTGCACACCTGCTATCAACCAGGAGGTGCGAACGAGCGCTCAGCAGTGCTTGGGAGTTTGCAGAGCCCTACGGCACCCACGTCGGTGGATGAGGCTTTGACGTGGTTGCGATCATGGCCGCGCAAGGATTTGAATATGATGGTGCCTGATGGGACGATTCTTGCAAGAGCTTTGACCATGGTGACCACGAAGTTTGTGGCAGACAACGCGGACACACACTTCCGCACGCAGCTGTTGCGGTCAAGCCTGAGGATAGATGGACAACCCAAGATCGCAGATGTCATTAAGTACCACCAGCACCTGCAGGCCGAGATCGAGTCTATGATTGCAGCTAGGACGGTGGCGCCGATGCCGGTGCCAGCAGTCAAGGTCCTGACTACCCCTACTACAAGCTCCTCAATTCCGTCAGGCAGTGCTTCAAAGCCTCCGTGCAAATATTTCCTGAAGCACGGCGGTTGTCGGCGTGGCCAACGCTGCCCCTATGTGCACGACATGAACAGTGTGAGCAAGGCAGAACGAGCACGAAAATAGACAGAAGGACTGCCCGAGAAAGACCCCCAAGCACAGTGGACGACCAAGTGGAGGACAGGGATTCCAAGCGGCAGGTTCGACTTCACCTTCAACTACATCACCAACGAACGTGCCAAAGGTCACAAGCTTGGAGCCGGAGGGAGAAACATCTCCCGTAGCTGCCTCGCAAGTGATTGCGGGAGAACCTGTCTGGACCCTGGAAACCTTGCTTCAGGCGGCGGCGAAGGTTGCTGGAGCGCAGCCTGCAAACCCTAAGGCTCCGTCGGTAAATGTCATGGCCTTGAAGAGGACAATGGGGTCGTCTGATGAGTTGGCTATGTTTGCGTTGATTGACTCAGGTGCCACCCATGCGCTACGGAGATCCCTATCCCAGGAGGAGTGGGAAGAGGCAGAGCCGGTGACTGTGAATCTGGCGGGTGGCGAGTCTATTGGTCTTCGCATGAACGCTGCAGGCACGATCTTAGTGCCAATCAACTCGAGGACTTCGGCGATGTCGACAGCGCCGATTGTTCCATTGGGAGCCCTGATCAATCAGTTGGGGTACACCATGACATGGGGAAAAACCAAGTGCAAGCTAGAGGGCAAGAACGGAGAGGTAATGGTTCTTCGTGTTCGTGAAGGTTGTCCCGAGGTCACCGAGCAGGAAGCCTTGAAGTTGATTTCTGAGCTGGAAGATGTAAGGCTACAAGAGCTCCGGGAAAACACTCGTGATACGCGGTCTAGAGTGAAGGCGGCGGCGCTTGCGATGGAGAGAACCTGGTTTGACTACTTGATCTCGTACATCGACGGCGGGATCTCCTCGCAGGCATTGAAAGCAGTGGAGAGCGCGCCTTTTCTCCAAGAAGTCCCTCGAGAGTGTAAAGCAGGCCTCGTGGATGCAGTGCCGGAAGCGAATGGATGGCAAGCCTTGAAGGGTTTGGAGCGTCTGAATCGAAAGACCAGAAAGCGACTATGGACCTCGAACAAGTGGTTGGTGCACTTGTATGCTGGACAAAGGGAGCGGCGTGATTTGCAGCACTTGGAGGGCCACGGGTACACGATCCTGGAGTTGGACATCGAGAGGGGTCGAACACATGATGTGTTGAGATCAAGTACCTGGCGAGCGCTGGAGTGGGGAGCAAGGATGGGCAAGATCGGAGCAATCATTGGAGGACCGCCGCAAAGCACATTCATGATTTCGCGACATGTTGTGGGAGGTCCCGAGCCAGTGCGGTCCAACGAGTACCTGTTCGGGAACTGGCCAGGTCAATCGGACAGTGATGTTTTCAAGGTCAACCGGGAGACGCAGCTGATTACGAGGATGGTGTATCTACATGCTCTTGCTACCGCGGGAAGAACAAGGGCGAACTATGATCCGACCGTCAGTCGGGAAGTTGCCTTTCTTCTAGAGCATCCTCGTGATCCTCGTGGGTATTTGAAGTTTCAGGACCCGCTGTACCCGGACGTAGTGAGCTTGTGGAGGACGTCATTGTGGTCAGAGTATGCATTGGAAGCAGGGTTGCATGCCTATAACTTCGACATGGCGGCTTTGGGAAAGGCATATACGCGCCACACCACGATCGGCACCAATCTACATCTTCGGCATCTGGATGGACTTCGTCTACGGTGGCATTCTGATGGGCCGGCTCCAGAGCGAGCGCCGGCATGTGTGTGGCCACAGGAGTTCTATGAGCACCTGGTCATAATGACCAGGGACATTGCGTTGCGGGACTGGGGAAAGATCCCCAGGATGCTGAAGATGAGTGCAGAGCAGCGGCGAGATCATGTACGACGGGGACATCTTCCATTCAGAGCAGACTGCTCTGTATGCGTTCAGGCAGGCGGCATGGGCCGACGCCATTCCAGGGTGGAGCACCCATCAGCCTTTGTGTTGTCGGCTGATTTGTCTGGCGTGGTGAAGGTGGGCGGTGTGGATCCAGATGGACGAGGAGCCTTCCCCCGACCCTTCAAGTACATCTTTGCTGCAAAGTTGAGGGTGCCGAAGTCCTTTGTGGAAGATGGTCGAGGTGTTTGGCTCGATTACGATCCTGGTGAAGTGAGCAAAGAAGACTATGAGGAGCAAGATGATGGGTTGGCTCCTGTTGAAGGCGGCGTTGGAGATCGTGTTCCAGAAGATCCAGCAGCTGATGGAGGTGAAGATTGTGAACCTGAGCTCAAAGAGGTGCCGAGGCGAGATCCCGATGAGGACAGTGACCTTGGTGGCCCGGAGCTTGTGAACCTCATCTTCGCGTGTGGTCTAAAGGACGACAAAGCGCCCACTGTCCTGGAGGCCATTCAGGACGTGATCCTCTATTGCCGGGCGCTGAACATACCAGTGCTTCGCTTTCACACCGATAGAGGAATGGAGTTTCGAGCCAGAGCGACTCAGCAATGGCTCAAAGGCGAGGGCATCCGAGTGACTACGTCGGAGGCCGGGGTCCACCAGACCAATGGAACAGCGGAATCAACAATAAGATGGCTGAAGCAGAGGGCGAGGACGTTACTGCTATCCGCAGGGCTACCACAACGACTATGGCCGTCGGCTATCAGCGTGGCAGCTTCAATGCAAAGGGGCGACGTTCTTGGGTTTGAGCCGAAGCTTGCAGCCCCGTATGGTTCCAAAGTACTGGTTCGTAAGCGTCATTTGGATGGACCAAAACTAGATGATTTGGCACCAAGATGGTTATCTGGAGTGTATGTGGGACTTTCTGATAGTCTTAGCAGGGGCCACTTGGTGTACGTGAATGACAGTGAAGGAGAGCGCTTTGTACACACGTTGCATGTTCGAGCCGGCTTACATGATCCAGGACCTCCTGACGAGGAAGTTCAAGCCGATCTACCTGAGCCTCCTGAGCGTCGTGTGCGAGGAAAAGCTTCTGGATCCGGGGATGTTGTTGCAGTTTCCAAAGCTCAGGTGTTTGATGAGGCAGAGTTTCGGCAGAGGGCAGAGACTCTAGAGCAGAACTGGAGCTTGGATGTAGCAGAAAACCTGGTTCGGGATGTTGCGCGTCTACTTCCTGATGATGAGCGAGTCTATGGAATGTTCCGTCACGGAGGACGAATTGGCGTGACCAAGTCCACTGTGGAGAGACCGTGGTTTGCTCGAGTTTTGAATCGGGTGATGTTGGAGAGAGCCCCTGACGCGGAGTACGCTGCAGTCTTTGTGTCCATCAATAACGAGCGTGAGGTGCACATTGATCGCAACAATGCTCTTGGGGCTATGAATCACCTGCTCCCGATAAGCATGCCGAGACGAGGAGGGGAACTATGGATGGAGCTGCGCGATAGTGACGTGGTCTCTGGAAAGGTGATTGAGTTGGTTTCCGGAGAAGGACGGGCCAGATATGGTTGTGCATTTCCCTTACAAGAAGGGAGAGTGTTTTCCTTCGACCCTCACCGCCGTCATGCTGTAATGCCTTGGAAGGGCGAGCGCATCGTCATTGTGGGCTACACTCCTGCTTTATTGTCCTCAGTTCCAAGACTGGACCGGGAATTGTTGTGGGCGTTAAGTTTTCCGTTGCCCTTGGTGGACGAAGATCATCCGGCTGAAATCTTCATCAACGCATTGTCGGTGTCTTCGGTGAAGCCGAAAAAAGAAGTTGAACGGGAAGCACGGCCCCTTCCACTAGAAGGCTGGCAGGAAACAATACCCACGTCAGATGGCGACTACCTGTTCAAGTGCGACTGGTCAATGGCAGCGAAGCCAGTGCGGGACCATGGCTCACTTGTTCCTCCTGGAGATGGACAACAATGCGAGCACACCGTCGCCTGTGAAGAGCAGTGGGAGGACTGGGAGATGCATTTGGTGTTGGATGATGCCAATGAGCCGGTAAGCACAGCAGCTTTGTCTTCGAGTCGCAGTGTGAACCCATCTCTTAAGAAGGCGGAGGTCACTTACACTGATGGCATCGAGGAGATTTTAGCGAACTTGAGCTCTCCTGTTTCAGTAGTGTACACGGTGAATCCGAAGGACGTGCTTGCTGTGTTTGAGAAGTGGATCCCATCTTTGAACAAGGAGGTTAACACGCTAGACCACGCAGTGGAAAAGGTGATGGGTGATGATTCTCAAGTTCGAGACGACTTGAACTCCGGAAGGGGGCAGTTGATTCCAATGAAGGTCGTGTACACGATCAAGCCACCAGATCCTCCGACCGAGGAGGAGGTGCCCGCAGAGCTCTTCAAGCGCAAATCGCGCATTGTTATCTGTGGGAACATGGCGACGCACAGCCCGTCTGAGGTGTTCGCAAGTACCGCGCCTGCGGAAGTGGTTAGAGCAGCTATAGCATTGGCTCGCTTCTTCAACTGGAATCTTGGGGCGATTGACATCGTGGCGGCCTTCTTGCAGACCCCGTTACGAGCAGTGAAGGGGGCGCCGCTAGTCTATGGGGTGCCACCAAAGGTGCTTGTGAGAGCTGGGTTAGCGAAGCCAGGTGAGTTGTGGAAGTTGACTCATGCAGTTTACGGCCTACAAGAGAGTCCGAAGCTTTGGGGTGCTTACCGTGACACGTTGTTGGCGCAAATCCAGTTGGTGTTCGACGGAAAGCGAGTGACTCTGATGCAAGGGCGTGTGGAGCCGTCGTGGTGGTCAGTCCTACAGGATGGCTCAGTGCTGATTGGCATCCTCGTGGTGTATGTAGACGATCTTCTTCTATGCGGAAGAACTGAGCTCATCAAGGAGTTGGCGGCCGCTATTAAGGCGGTATGGAAGACGAGTCCACTTCAGCTAGCAACAGATGGCGAGATCAGGTTCCTGGGAATTGAAATCTCGCTTACAAGCCAGGGTTTTGCGTTGTCCCAGAGAGCCTACATTGAGGAGCTTTTGCGAATCCACGAGATGACCCCGAAGCGCAAGGATTTAGTTCCTGTGGCTAAAGAGCTGGCAAGTTTTGTTGCGGCAGAGGACGAGGCGCCTGCCAATGAGGCGGAGATCCGTGCGGCTCAGCAGATCGCTGGGGAGTTGTTGTGGATCAGCCAACGGACCAGGCCGGACATTGCTTTTGTATGCTCGTTAGTGGGATCGCTTGCAACACGGGCTCCAAGGCGTGCTGTGGAGATAGGGGAGAAGACTCTTGGATACCTTCAGAGGACCATAGGACGTCAGTTGCTATATGAAGGGGGTGTTCCCTATTTGACCGGGTTCGTGGATGCGTCGTTTGCCCCAGATGCCAGTCGGTCACACACGGGTTGGATCGTGTTGTTAGCCGGGAATGTGATCGCATGGAGATCGTCGAGGCAGTCTTGCATCAGTTTGAGTACAGCAGAAGCAGAGTTAGAAGCAGCAGTAGAGGGCCTTGTGGCGCTACAGGGAGTTCAAGCTCTGTTACATGATATTGGAGTGACTTCGCTTCAGCTTCAAATGCACTCTGATAGCACTTCAGCCTTGGCGATTGCAAGGGGATCCTGCAGCTGGAGGACAAGACACCTGCGGTTGAAGAGTTCCTGGATTGGTGAACTCATTGCCAAAGGGACTGTGGAGTTCAATCATTGCAGTGGAGAAGTCCAACCGGCCGACCTTCTGACCAAGCCGTTGTCCTCAGCGAGAATGAGGGCTTTGAGCGGCCTTATTGGGTTGATTGAGGACCCGCGTCTACCTGGCGGTGGCGATCAGGAAGAAGTGCAGGGTGAAGTTCGCACCAGCATTCCAAGCAGCAGCAGCAGCACTCACACCCCTAGCCCCATCCCTAAAGTGTTAGTAGCGTTACTGGTGTTGGCGCAAGCATTTTCTGGTGAGCGTGCTACTGACGAGTATGGAATGGTAGCTTATGGTAGCAGCGTGTCGGTTGACTATGGCTTGCTTACCTGGATGCTATTGTGGCTTTTGGTGTTGCTGGCTGTTATGTCCTCGGAAGCCTTGAAGTGGATTGCTTGGGTTGTCTACGATAGAGCATCACCGGGTGCAAGTGCAAGGCGTTTGAGAAGGCTGCAGCGGCTAAGAGATGCCACGTCCGAGGCGATCCAGAAAGAGGTTGCTGTAAGGATTGGAACGGGTCCAGAGCGGCGCGCTCGTGATGCTCGCCGGACTCCTGCTCAACAGCAGGCCTTGCAAGCAGGTGAGGAAGCCAGAGGACTGAGGAGTGATCCCCAGCGCAGTCAGGATCCGAATGCAGAGGAAAGGATGAATCTGCTGCGAAGATTGGCGCGTGGGACAAAAGAGCAGGTAGATGCCGCTGTTCAGACGGCAGCGTTCTCGCCTGTGCAAGCTCCTGGAACGAGAGTGATTTTGCGCTATGTTCATGAGCCACCGGAGCAGGTGTTTGTGGTGCCTGACAATGAGTGCTTTCATGTGTACGAGGATTGCTACGCCTTCCGGCATCGTGGGACTCAGGATCGTGTGCAGCGCCGCAGACTGTGTCAGTTTTGCAGCAACAGAGCAGCAGAAGACCCTGACAAAACACCGGACTATGGCCGTGACCTTGAAAGAGCGCACGAGTACGAGAGAGTTTTCAATACTACTCTTCGAGTTTCTGGACAGAGCTCACATGTGCCCTCAGCCTGACGTCGAGGCCAAGGAGGAGTAGGGAAAACCAGAAGCAGCGATTGAAGTCGCATGCTGTGTGCAGTTGTTTGCGAGCTCTTGTCACGGCTGATGCTTGGGTTTAAGGGGAAGGCTGCGGAACATACGCCCCTTGGCCATGTAAAGATAGCACAGCTGAAGACCGTGCACAAATCAAGAAGTGTACTGAACTGTTTGCATTGAGATCATCAATTGTACAACCTAGATCTCGAAGTGCTTACATGTTGCGTTGCGTGCAAAAGATTTCAAGTAGGTTCAGGCTGCAATGGATGAGACTTCGGCGTCTACTGCGGTAAGACCTGTCCTTCAATAATGGTAACCCTCCTACGTGGTCCTTGACTTGTCAGGATCTGCTGTTCCGCGGGCTACCACAGGACGTGTGCAATGATTGCCTTGCTCATGGCAATCTTCAAAGTTGCTGTGCTGAATTATTATCTCATTGACTGTGACACTCAATTGTCTAGTTTTTATGTAAGTATCAGCTGTCAGTGCAGGTCTGTGGCATCGACTGCGTTGCATGGTTCGACACTTTAGTCCAGAATGAGAATCACAACCAGCGAAGAAACATCGATGACGATCAACAGCACATTATCGACTTCGCCCGGGGCTTTGATGTGTCGCTCAGCAACTTCAAATTTCCGATTGTTGTTTTGAGGTTGTAATAATTAAATATTTGTAAATGTAATCCATGGTTCTGCCAAAGTGTGGCATTTGAGGCGCTGCCAGATACCAAAAGACAAAGAACTGCTCAGCGTGAGCCCCCGGACGAAGATGACGATGACAGCACGACAGCGGGTCGTGATCCTGTATCCTCCAGTTCTGCTACTCCGGCTTTTGCCAGGCCACCAGTGCCAGCTCCAGCATGGCCTCCTCAAGATTGGAATGATCCTTCAAAAGCATCACCAGCAAAAAAACCAAAGGCCGGGGCAACAGCATCAAAAGCAGGGGCAGGGGCAGGACCAAAAGCTGGAGCACCAGCAAAACCAAGAGCACCAGCAAAAGCAGGGGCACCAGCAAAAAGAGAGGCACCAGCAAAAGCAGGGGCATCAGCACAAGTTGGGGCAACAGCAAAAGCAAGGCCAGCACCTCCTGTGAAAAGCATGCCTGCAAAGCCGCCACGGTCGGCAGTGATTGATGTTGAGCAATCAGAGGGTGTGCCGGAACCGAGAGCTCCGCCCAAGTCTCGTCCGTCACATCTGGGTGCACATCGGGCAGCATCACATCAAGCTGAACCTGCCTTTCCTCCGAAGCCGCCAGCAAACCCAACACTTCCGATGATGCAGGCATGTGAGATGGCTGTTGGGGAATGCTTTCAGACATTCCTAGGTGCTGGTGCTGCACTGCCGAGCAACAGTTCAGCTCGAGCTTCAATTGAGAACATGGTGTCGAGTTTGGCGATTGCTGTGTGGGAGAGGCTGCAGCCAAAACTTGTGGAACTTCAATTCATGTCAGAAGTTCAGCACAGTGTTCCACTGGCACCTGACCTCACAGCGTGGAATCCGCATCATCCTGAGAAGTCGGAGCCCTACAAGGCTGAGCAGGAGCAAATCGATCAGGAGTCGCAAGAGGAGGAAGAAGAGGAGGACGATGAAGTAGTGGTGCCAAGTACCAGAGACCCGGTGATGCAGCCTGGCAGGGATTCGCATGCAGTTTACAGTGTTGTATTGTTTATATGAAACAGTTGAGGCTGGAGATCCTGGCGGACTACAATATCCCTGAGGATGTCCAGAACCAGTTCTTCCACTTGGCCACCGAGCCGGACTTCCCAGTGGAGCGCCAGGTCAAGCTCATGCCGCTTGAATTGTTCATTGATTCATTCTGCACCACTGCATCCCTTTAAGACTCAGACTCACATGCATCAATCAATATCTGTAGTGCCAAGGATGAACATGCTGATGCGCCATGGTACCATGGCGCCGAGTACGAGCTGGCTCAGACAATGTGTTAGCAACTTGTCGTTGTTAGGGGACTGACAGTGCAAGTCCTTAAACTGAAATGTGGTGAAGCAGTGAGCTTGTGCTTGCTACAGGCAACGAACTGTCCCAGCCACACCCGCCATCCGATTCGACAGAGCGGCCGTCATTGGAAATGTTCGACCCGAACTGAAGTGAGCTGACTGCCCGGGCTGACTGAGCTGAAAGCTCCAATGAGATGTTGAGCTTTCATCCATGGCACTTTCTGGTGCTCGTACACTAAGTACCATACTCAGCTGGTGATTTGGTTGAGTGAAATCTACTCAGCTGATTCCAGCTCTTCTGATTGGTTCATTCTCCTCGAATCACACAGACTCTGACAATTCCGTGTCAGTCAGTTTGAAGTAAGATTCATGCTATCACCCAAGCACACACATAATACATACACACACAAACACATAATATAATATCATATCATACAGCTTCCAATGTGCTCAGGTGCTGGAGTTCCTCGAGTTGCAGGAGGCAGTGACATCTATCTCACTGGTGAGTTGTCGATGAAAATGTTGTGTTAGTCAGTCGTATGGTCATAGATTCATGTTTTTGCAGCTGTTGGTGTCAACTTTCAGAATTGCTCCGAACAGTAGTTACGCTTTGGATTCCCATGCTGATGGATGAACACTTTCACAATTGAGTCTCAATTGTCACAATTGCAGCATTTTAGGATTGAGAGGTGGCTGCTGAGGCCAAACGCAAACAGTATTTTTTCGCATGTGACTTTTCTTGGTCGCGATGGAGTGTCCTCGTTGCCAGCGTGTTCTCGGTTGGTCACATTGGAGGAAATCCCAGTGGCACACGAAAAAAGCTGAAACGCCAATTCGCCACTTCTTCAATTGTTGCCGTGGCTGTGGTAATGTCCTGGAGAACCTGTATGTGGATACACAGGAAGTCCAGTTGGCAGTAACATTTCTGGCCCAGATGAGTGATCCTTTGAGAGCAGATTCAGGCAAACTTCAGCGCAGGTTTCGGGATGTGTTCGAGGGCTTGGTTGAGTACCCAGCGCAATTTCGAAAACACATATCTCACGGAGGCTGCCTGTACTACAATGGGCAAGCGCATGATCCTGGGAATACGTTATACACAATCGCGTTGGAGTTGCTTCTGCCTGGATTCCGCAGAAACGTTCCTTGGGGCGAAGAGAAACTTGGAGACTTGGTTGAAGGGCTTCTTTGGGTATGGTCTCCGGAATTTATAGCCTCGGAGAAGTTGCAGAAGGAGGCGGATCAGATCAGGAGACAACATTACAGGAACATCCAGTGGCTTCTACAATGTGCCGAGCCACCAGTTTCACAAGATTTGACGATGATCGGATTCTTGCCTGGGTGGTTTTCTTCTGTTTTCATGCTTTCGAGAGCCATTGGCTACACACAACCGTTCTCAAACGTGGAGGAGCTCCTTACATTTCGGGCTTGGACCCCTGAGAACTCTTGCCCAAACAAAGAAATGCGGGAACAATTGGAAGCAATGGCTCTGAAGTTGGACCAAATTCTGATATCAGAGTCTGAGGAGTCACTGGCCTCTTATCATTCAATGGAGGATGTAGAGGATGAAGACCCAGAGGAAGACAAAGTTCTCGAAGATGAGGATGTAGAGGATGGGGACGAAGACGAAGCCCATGCAATGAGTGATGATGAGCCAAGGCCAATGTACAGACATGAATTGTGTGACGAAACATCAGACGAAGACGAGGAGGAATTCTTACACTTGCTGTTGGAACAGTCCTCTGAATCTGAGGACGAGCACGATCCGGCCTGAAACTCTGACTCCTCAAATCGGTGTCGAGTCCTTTTGCCAATTAGGTCAGTGATACTCACAATGCGCCTACCTCTGCCTCTGTGTCAAAACACTGCACGATTGATTGATTGTGATGACAGTTTCGCACACAATTCAGTGACAGTGGCGTTCACAATTGAGAGTTTGCTTGACTTGCAGATTCCTTACAGAAACCTGATGGTGCTGTCTATGAACCATCAGAGTGCAAAAGGAAACAGTGTCATGGGCACAGCAAAGTCATCCAGTGAAACTCTGCCTGACAAATCTGTGTCAGTGCACGAGTGGGCAACTGGCATGGCACATGTTGCGGTTGAAACCCAACCCAAGAAATGAACAATTCAATTCTGTCTGTCAGGTTGTTTGCCACAAAGAGGAACCATCACCATGCAGCCGCCTCAGTCTTGAGTGAAAGGTTCTTACACCCAGTCTTGGAGAGTTAGTTTGCCTGCTGTTAGAATTGTCTTGCTTCAGCTGCAGCCATTTTCCCCCAAGATCAATTTGGTCTTAATTTTGATTGACGATCATGTCGAATCCCACGAAGGAGGGCTATGTGGAATCCCTTCAGTGCTATGTGGACGAAAAAGGTGCCTCAGCTGCATGCTGTTCCACTTTGAAAGCTACCTGCCGGCATGGGACTACAAGCGCTTGGAGCTTGGAGATGATCTCGCAAGACTGCAAATGTGATGATGTGGTTTTGGCGGAGTCCAAAGGCAGTGTGTCAGAGGAATCTGCAACCTGCAAAAGCCAGTTGCCGGTCAAGCACTGATGTTTCACAGATGTGATTTGCACAGGACAAGTTTGAATTAGTAATTCTGCCATTTGCAGTCACTAGCTGCAATTGCAGGTTCCAGAAGATTCCAGCAAGTTTCGATTGGGGGAAAAAGCTGTGGGAAACCTGAGCTATGCCGAAATTGTCCTTTGTCCACTGATGCTTGTGGATGTGAATTGTGTCTCCCTGAATTGTGTCTCATTGTCAATACTGTCTCTGATTAATTGTGCAGCAAGTCTAAGCACTTGCTGAGAACTGGAAGGTTCTACATCTTGAGCAAGGAAGGATCTTGAACAGTAGCAACTCATTCCTTGATTGAGTCAGCGGATAGCTCCAGTGACAATGGGCTAGACAATTTCAAGGGAACAGCAGAATCATGCAAAGGGGCCGTAGCCGGAGCAATTCGCCCTTGCCGCCGCCCTTGCCCCCGCCGTTCAATTGGAATTGGCGTTGCTTTTCCAGGAGCG